GTCTTGAAAGTCTTTTTCGATTTCAATGAATTCTTTTTGGTAGACTGGTATAAGGTTTTCATTTTTTGTGAAGGAGCTGAAGAATGTACGGTCTTTGAAGCTGATTTTATTCATTATCGCTTTTAGATAATAAGGTAAATATTGAGGAAGTTTGGGAATCGTGTCTATAGTTTGAATTGAGATTTGAATTTTGTTTAGTGCTGGAAGTAGATTGTTAACTAGTTTTTCTATATCAGCTCTAAGTGTTTAATACTAGTTGATATCTCTGATTTCTTGTGGTTCTTCTTGAACTTGTTGCTTGAAAGAGGATGACCAAGCATATGGAGTAGTTTTGGATTGCATAGTGAATTTTGCTAGTTTGTCAAGGTTGATGACATTATCGATTATGATGAAATTTAATTAGTTTGTAGGAAGAATTTCACTGATTTCCATATTGAAGTTGGGTGTTATCATGCGAGTATCAAGGGAGGAAGTTAGAGTAGCATTTGTTTGATTGGTTTTTTTGAGTTTAACAAGATCCAGATTAGATAATTACATTGGTGTATTAGTTATTATGCTAATTTCTATAGGATTTCTGATTTGGGACTGTGTTAAGGTGATAGACAAGGGGCTTGCATGTGTATGTATTGTGGTTGTTTGATATATATTCCTTTTTTGGAAGACAAGAGATATGATAGATAAAAGATCATTTTTAGGGGTAAGCTGGTTGGAGTTTTTTGTAATTCCTTGGGAAAGTAAGAGAAATTCTTTGTAGGCGATTGTAAAGTTCTGTGTTGAATTTTGTTTTTTCCATTTTTTCTGCTATGTTACTAATATGTTGGAAGTTAAGGGAGATGTTTCTGTTGTTGGCAAGTGAAATTCTGGTTTGGGGAGGTCTTCCTTGATCCTTTTTTCTGATGATTTCTGTTGTAAAGTTGAAAATGCAGATATTATTTGTAGAGCCTGAAGTAATGATTTCTTCAATGTCTTTTTCTTCCCTTATGATAAGAAATTGGTTAGAGAAGTTTGTTAGGTTGGTAATAAGGTGGGAACGTGTGGATTCTGTCCTGATAATTTTGTTATTAGTAAGGTCAAGGTAATAAATTTGAGAGAGTTGGTTTCAGTCCTGATGAATAGTCGCATATAGGAACTGTTTTTTGTTGCTATTTGTTAATAATTGCTCCATAGTGAAGTTATTTAATGGTTGGGAGCACTTGGAAGTGCTTGGAGGTGAATAGTTTCTTGAAGAGTTATTGCCAAATAAGAAAATTTTCAGTTGAAAATTGATTTGTAGGAAAGAGTTTTTTTTTTATATTTATATTTTTTATTTTTAGGCATAAGATATAAATTTAGAAAATAAAATTTTAAATAGAATAATGATAAAATTAATAATTTTATATTGGTTATAACTAATTATAAGTCTATTTGCTAATGATATGATGACAATATTTATTAAATAATAATAAAGTTTATTAATATCCAGATAATAATATTAATATTTTATTACAAATATTTACATTTCAATTTCAACAAAAAGTGGTTCATTATTTATTATTTTTAGTTTGAATAAATAATAAAATATAATATTTATAAAAATACTTAATTTGTAAACTATTAAATAAATATAATAAGCACATATACAAGTAAATTTTGATTAAATTAACAAGATTATTTGTTTCACATACAGATAAATATAACATTTTTTTAATCCTGCTACTATATTATAAATTCTTTAAATATATAGAATTATTGAATATATACTGTAAGTAGTATAATTATAATTAATTTAGATTACAATTATATTACTTAGTTTAAATTATAACTATATTATAGACTATACATGTGGTGTAAATTATTTTGCTTTTGACTCAATTCCCAAAATTCTCAAAAATAATTGCATCATGACTCAATTATTTATATGTTTTAATAGTGACTCAATTAATTACGTCAAATAATTGCTTCAAATAATTGCGTCAATTGTGTCAAGAATCTATGAATTTTAGCAATATGTATAATATAGACCTAAATTATAATTCTGACCATATTTGAAAGTAGTTTATCTAATGATTTTAACTATATTCAAAAGTAGTTGATTTTTTAATTTTGGCCATACTATTATATAATTAATCTTATAATTTTGATCACATACTTGATATGTTTATAGTTTACTTATCAGGTAATATATTATTGTATTTGTATTATCACTTAAAAATCATTGAAGTATATGTTTTTTGCTTAAGTGTATTATGCTTTATTTTTTAAATCCCACTTAAGTGCTATGTATTTTACTTTTTATAATACTCACCAAGGTGTCATATTTTGTATATCTGACTATATGTATAAAATCGAATTTCTGTTATCAAATAAAATTAAAATTTATTGATAGCCTGAATTAGCTTGCTTTTGCATTTTCATTGTTATTATTTTATATATCAGATAAATAAAAAAATAATTATTGAATATATATTATTATGTATATTATACAAATACTATTAAATATGTATGCAAGGTAATTGTGCAAATGCTATTGGATATATATTATCAGTAAAATAATATCATATGAATGAATTTAATTTTTAGGACCTTTTTTATTAATATATTTGAAACAATTGTAATTTTAAATTGGCTTAATTTAACAATTAAAAATAATTTCTTATTATATACATTAAATTTAAAATAACAATAATATATATAATTCTGGTTAATTCTAAATTGAGATAAATTCTAAAAAAGACTAAAAATATATATATATAATTCTGGTTAATTCTAAATTGAGATAAATTCTAAAAAAGACTAAAAATATATATATAATTTCAAAGTTTCTTATAGGAGTGATTCTATTTTAAATATTCATTTGAGCTTCTTATAATTATAATTGCATGTGTAATAACTATGATTGCAGTTACTTATATTAAGAAAGAAAATAAATAATAATAATAAGCTTATTATATATAAGTAGATTAATAAAAAAAAACTCTTTCTTGATCACATCTATTTTGTTAAAATTTTTCATTTTATGGTAATTTTAAGCAACAAAAAATAATTTACACTCTTTATTGCAGTGAGTTCAGTTGTTGACTCAAGAACTTTCAAGATAACTAATGCAGTAGGATGAAACCTTTAATCAAAATCTACTTAAGTTTGGGAGTCTTGCTTATTCTTTGGTTGCATAAAAAAAGATCCATAGTAGTTCTCTTACACTTCTCATTATTATTACTATATTATAAAAACTATTATTATTACTATTATTATACTCACTAAATTAAACACTTTTCAAAAAACATACTCAAAAAAATTGTTAGGTTTATTGTTTGTTTTAATACAACCTTCATATATAATTTTATCATAATACTATTTATTGTGTCATTTCAAAATTTCTAAAAAATTTTTTTCAAAAAACTAAAATCAGTTTGCCCTTCAGATAATTGTTACTCTCCAATCATAGAATTCAATTTTGTCAAAATAACAAATAAAAAACCAAACCTGTTTAAACTGGTTTTTTAACATAACAACAATTATCACAACAACAAACAATATCAATTATACATTATTTTTCATGTCAACAAAGATCACATCTCTAAGAATAGTGCCAGTTTATAAGCTGGACAATTGGTCAATTTTTAGATATTCTTTTAGTCTATATAGATCTTATAGTTTAAGCAACTTAATTTTAGTTTCAGTAGTGGTAGTTCTGATTTATTTTTCTTTTCAATTTTCTTTTACTTTCTATTTTCTTTACATTTAATAAAAAAAACTCTAAGTAAATAAGTATAGTTACTATTTAGCTATATTTAGCATATACAATATTGTTTTAAAATTTTTTTAATATTAACTATATATGGATGTATAAGCAAGCTAGAATTTAACTTATTGTATACTTTGCATCCAAGAGATGTTATTTCTTTCTTATGTATTGTTATCAGTACATGATAAGTCTGTTACTACTCTGAACTAGGTCATCACATAATGATAGGTAAGTAGGGGCTTGTGTCATTTGCACACCAAAGGCACTTGTTAATAAACTCCCTTTTCTTTTAGATGTCAATCTAATCTATACCACAAGTCATTGTGGTTTCTCAAGATTCTATGAGTGGCAAACTACCTATACAGGTAAGTTTATTAATTATATTGTAAGTACAATTGATTACAAGTTTTTACAGGATTGATCTTAACTAACTATTTCAACTAGCTACTGTAAATCCACTCATATTTATATCCGTCGTGATATGTATGCTAATCTATTGTTACGTTATTTAGGCTTCTTGATGCAGGGCCCGATGGATCGTGCCATATTATGTAACTAACAGTAATTCTAATGACCCATACATTTTTCCCTACTACGATGAAGATACGATGTAGATACGACACTTTTTTCTCTTATATAATTATATGATAAATAACACATCGTAAGTATATCTCAGCTGAATAGCATTACCACACTAAATAATTTACGAAAGAAGAAACCGAAATGCTGAGTACCTGGAAGTAGTAAAGTGGGTTTTCGTAATAATATTGAGAATATAATTAATGACAGATTTAGTACCAACTATACAGGATTTGAATAAAAGAGTAGATTTCAAAATCTTTTAAGGAAAATTTTTGCATCGATTTTTACATGTGTCAAAGACATTTGAGTTTCGCTCATTTCAAGTTCCCAGAAATTCGCTATCACTGCAGGAGAAAAAAATCGTAACTCTATTATTTTTATATCTGCATCAATAAATTTTAGATAAGTCACTGTCTCACGAAGGGAAGATGCTCGATTGGCTTTGATAGCATTCTTTTCTCCGAGATATAAATAACAAATAAAATTTTTATATAGAATTATGCATGGCTAAATGTCTTAAATTTTCCGTTAGTCTTCACGTCTACTATATGACATCGCTTATACTTCAAATTTATGTTCGGATAATATCAGATACATGTATGTAGCATCGCATGTTAGAAAACATAAAATGAAATGACCATACTTTTTATATGTAGTATTGTCACTACCTCAAAAAATTTTAATCGTAAAAGTTATGTCGTCTGACGTTACAAATTCCTCAACCGGTGTCATGTCTAATCTTCCAACAGTTGAACATGTGAAGGCATGGAATCGAGAGGACGTTAAAGCGTTTTTACAAAACAACAAAACTGAATTAGACCTTGAAGACAGAGGTATCAATAAGCTACAGTTGGCGACATAAAGATTTAGACTTTTTTTTAATATACAAAAAATGACATAACTGAGTCATTATCGTTTTATTTAAGTGACTTTTTTTGTGTCATACCATGTGACCACCCCACTAAATGTACCAAATTATTTATTAACCTTATTTATCATGAATCGGCACATATTAATAAATTATGTCGCGTAACACTGACCTTGCAGCACAAAGAACCGTCGTAAGGGAGCTATGGGAAAAAAACATTCAAAAACCAGTAGAAATCATTAAAATTACAAAATATTCCAGGTCTATGGTATATAATCTTATCAAAAAACTTAAAGAAAGGGGTACCCTTGCACTCTGTCCTATTCCTGAAAGGTCTTCTATTCTTTCGTCTAAAAATCGTCATCATTTGGGTTTGCTAATCCAAAACAATTGATTGATTTCTGTAGCTGAAATAAAAGAAAGACTTGTCCAAATTGATCCAAACCTTAAAATAACCCCCGCACTATCCAACGTGATCTTAATAAAAATCTTTAATATATTGCTTGCAGGCCAAAATGGGTTTCTCTTCTTAAACCAAATCATATCATTTCTCGTTTAGAGTGGGGTCAAAGTCATATTGATGACAATTGGTCGCAGACAGTT